AAAATGAGAATGAAAATACAACTTACCAAAACATTTAGGACACAGCATAAGAAGTGCTCAAAGGGCAATTTATGTAATAGTGCAAACATCCAAAAAGATGAAAGAACCAAAATCAACCTTGAGAGTAATGTTGGTTGATATGCCCTAAATTATGTTGGGGATTTCCCTTCTATTCCTATTTTGTTGAGCGTTCTTTTTATCAGGACATCTCCAACAATTAGAAAAAGAGCAGTAAACTAAGCCTATTGTCACCAGAAGAAAATAAATACTAAAGGACAGATCAGAAATAAATGAAATAGGAAAATAGTAGAAAGAATCAGTAAAACAGAAGTTGGTTTAATGAAAGTATTAATAAAATCAACAAACTATTGGCAAATATAACAAGAGTGAAGAAGAAAATACAATTAACACAAATAAGCAATGATATGATGATATCACAATAGAATCAATGGAAATAAAAAGGATAATAACAGCATACTATGAAGAATTGTACCCCAACAAATTTGAAAACCTAGAAGAAATGGATGAATTTCTAGAAACACATGACCAACCTAAACTAACACAGGTGGAAGTAGAAAATTTATACAAGCCTATAACAAGAGAAGAAATTGATCAAGTCAAAACTCACCCCCCCACCCTCCACCCCCAGCAAAATAGAAAAGAATGGAAAACTCTAGAATTCATTTGATGAAGCAAGCATAATTCTGATCCCAAAATCAGGCAAAGACATCATTAAGAAAGAAAATTATAGACCAATATCCTTTATGAATATAAGTGCAAAAATTCTCAACAAAATCCTAGCCAGTAGAATTCAACAGTATATCAAAAAAATAATACATCACAACCAAGTAGGATTCCTACTAGGTATGCAGGATAGCTCACTATTAGGAACAAAATCAATATAATACACCTCATAAATAAAACAAAGAAAAATTTTGACAAATCCAAAACTTATTCCTGATTTAAAAAAAAGCTCAACAAAATAGGAATAGACAGGAAAACCTCAACATAATTCATAATTTCAACCAACATCACTCTCAAGGTGAGAAACTGAAGTTATTCCCCCTGTGAACACGAACCAGCCAAGGATGCCCTTTGTCACCACTCCTATTCAATATAGCCTCGGAAACCTTGTACAGGGTTGCTATGAGTCGGAACTGACTCCATGGCACATAACAACAACAACATTCAATATTGTGCTGGAAATATTAGCCAGAGCTATATGGCAAAAAAAGGGAAATAAAGACATCCAAACTGGCAAAGAAGTAAAACTCTCTCTATTTGCAGGTGATATGATCCTATACTTAGAAAATCCCAAAGATTCCCCAAGAAAATTATTAGAACTCATTGACAGATTTGGCAAAGTGGCAGGATACAAAATAAACAGTACAAAAATCAGTGAGATTCCTTTATACTAATAAAGAGAGCTTTGAAAATGAAACCATGAAAAAACTATATCATTTACAATAGCCATCCAAAAGATGAAAGATTTGTAAGTACATCTAACTAGAGAAACAATAGACTTATACAAAGAAAACTAAGAAACACTACTACACGCAGAAATTGAGGCGTATAACCTGCTTGTAGATAAGGAGACTTAATTTTGTGAAAATGTCAACAACTACACAAAGCAATGTATAGATATAATGCAACCCCAATGCAAATTCCAAAATCATTCTTTAAAGAGATGGAAAAACGAATCATTAACTTTATACGGAAAGGAAAGAGATCCCCATAAGCAAGCATGATGTCTTTCTCGAGAGACTAGTCCTTCCTGACAACACGTCCAAACTGTGAGAGACAGAATCTTGCCAGCCTTGTTTCTAAGTAGCAGTCTAGTTATACTTCTTCCAAGACAAGATTTGTTTGGTCTTCTGACACTCTATGGTACTTTTAATATTCTTCCTCAACACCATAATTCAAATACATTGACTCTTCTACTATCTTCCTTATTCATTGCCCAACTTTCACACGCGTTTGGAAAGATTGGAAATAACAGTAGCTGGGTCAGGCACATCTTAGTCCTCAAACTTTGCTGGTGAACACTTTAAAGAAATCTTTTGCAGCACGTTTACCTAATGCAGTATGTTGTTTGATTTCTTGAATGGTACTTCCATGAGTATTGATTGTGGATCCCAGCAAAATGAAGTATTTGACAACTTCAATCTCGTCTCTGTTTACTGTGATATTATTTATTGGTCCTGTTGTGGGATTTTTGTTTTCTTTACATTGCAGTGCAATCCACACCGAAGGTTATGTGAGTTCCCTTAGAACCAAAAATATTTATAGGTTTTCTCCGTAAAGCTCTCTTGCTAAAACAAAACAAAACAGACAATAACAAACAACAAAACACATAACCTGTACTAGGTACAGCACATTAAGAAAACAGACTGGGTTAATGGATGAAAGAGCTAGTTGTCATATGGCAAAAGGCAGAGAACTATGATTGGGACTGAAGGAATATGAAGGATTGTACCTTTTATTAAAGATTTACTTATCCAGACAATGATTAACTATTAAATGTTATAATGCAGGTGAGAAGATTAGATTTTTGTTGTGGAGGATGAATGGGAAACAGAACATACTTTAGTTTTAGACAAATTAAAAGGGTTCTTGCAAAGTTCAAGGATTCCAGAAACAGTCTACTAAAATTCTCTAGAAGAGATCAGAATTAATGCCTGATGGAATGTCTGCATTTTGGAAAGAGAGACTGTATAAGAGTAAAAAGAGGAAACAGGGAGGAAAATGACAGGTTTCTAAGGAACATCTGGTTGTGGTGGCTGTGTGCTGTGGAGTCGATTCCGGCTCATAGCGACCCTGTACAGGGTTTCCGCGGCTGTAAATCTTTACGGGAGCAGAAAGCCTCATCTTTCTCCCATGGAACGAGGTGGATGATAAAGTCATTAAACAAAACAGAGACAATAAGAGTGTCAGGGGCAAGTTGATGAGTACGCTTTAGACATGGTAAGAGGAGGAAGATATGTCCATCCAAGAGGAGACTAGCAGCGATGCTAAGGAAAATAGAAGAGCTCAGAGGAGAATTGAATCAGTGAGTAAGAGATTGGAGAGGAATAAGTTTCATCTGAGAAAGAAACCCTGGGAAACAAAAATGTCTGGTAGACCCTCACTTCTGTTGGAAAAGGTTCTAATACAACTTGCTTTTCAAGTTCTGTATAGATTTCTCCAAATGGCTCATGAGGTAAAGGCAACTATTTTAAAGCCCTGAATGTCTTAGACTCCCTTTGGCTTCCCTCCCTCCCTGGCAGTGAGATTAACTGCTCTGCTCTCCATAACTGTTCCTGGAAATGAGAAGAGCAAAGTTCTGTGAGGCTTCTCCTTTGCTCTGATACCCCAGAGCCTATACACAACAACAGTGCCAAAATGTCACCTAAATGGTGGTTAAACATAATGGATGGGGAAACCACCCCAGCTGATACGTTGATTTAGAGCTTGGATCCATTTCTGTGTTTGAGATTTCTGAGTTGATCTGTGTAAACCTTGGCCATATGTATATGTGTTCCATTAAGATCTGAACTGAAGATTCACTTGTCAAACTCCCTAATCATCTTGGCGTTACATATTTTAAAGCCAATAGCAGGAATGGATAGTGTGTGTGTATGTGTGTGTGTGTGATTGAGTCGGTTTCAACTCAGCGACCTTGTAAAGGGTTTTTGAGAGCATCTGGTGGGTTTGAACTGCCAACTTTCCAGTACTAGTCCAGTGCTTATCCTAAAGCGCCATACCAGGGTTCATTATATCGTATGTTGTTATTGTTAAGATCTGTTGAGTCAGTTCCAACTCATAGCAATCTTGTATAGCGTTTCCGAGGAGCAGCTGTTGGGTTTGAACTGCCAACCTTGTGGTTCAAAGTCCAGTGCTGGTATCAGTACACTACACCAGGAGTCCACAGGTGATCATTAACAAAGCAATAAACTTGTTACTATTGAGTTGCCACTTTGACTCATGGGGACAGAAGTGTTATAGATATTTACAGGATTTTCTTGGTTGATATTTACAGAAGCAGATAGCCAGTTTCGTCCATGGCACTGTTGGGTGAGTTCAAACTGCTCACTTTTAGATTAGTACTCAGGGCAAACCAGTTGCAGCACCCTAGGACTTAAAGTTATTGTTAAGTGCTGTCGAGTAGGTTCTGACTCATAGGAACCCCGTATAGGGTTTCTGAGGAGTGGTTGGTGAGTTTGAACCACTGACCTTGTGGTTCAAATGAACTTTCAGTCCAGTGCTTTTCATACAATGCCATACTAGGACTCAATAGATGGTCACAAAGTTCTTACTATCCTAAAGATGCTCTATGGAAAGATATTTTTTCACAAAAGATGTAGTAATTAAGAGTCATGGATAAAAACTTAGGTGATCTGAAAAGTAATAAAGAAACACCTAGCAATTAGAGGCATGATGGAAGATGAAGTAGGAAGCAAACTAGAAAATGCCAATAAAACGGATTGGAAAAATATAGCTATAACCCTTCCATTGTTATTATTAAAACTATCAACATTATTCTTTTACATATTCATCATAAAAATGGAAAAATCCAGTAAAGTATAAAGAAAAAACCTAAAAGCATTTATAATCTTATCCATATGACTATTATTATAAAGTAATGAGTATTCACATTCTGGTGCATGTACTTCCAGACATCTCTCTACTTATCCATGTATATATGAGGTATCTTTAAACACTTTGTGGAAAATTTCCATTGTATTTTCATTCCATTTGCTACAGACTTTTTGAAACTCCCTCATATACTCACACATGTGCTATAAATGTTATCTGTTTGGGAACATACCCCTTTTGTAGTTCCATATTCCACTTTAGGCCAGATTTCATGCAAATCTAAATCACTGACGATTATAGCAGATTTTATTAAATGCTTTAAAGGGAGATAATGAAAGGGTTAATCAAAAACATTTTAACATATCTCTTTCCCCCCAAGTCCTTCTCCCTCTGGCAGCTGCCTAATCTCTTCTCTCCTGCCCATCCATCTCCACCACGACTCTCCAAGATGCCTTTGGTCTCCCTCATTGCATAACCTCCCTCACTACATAACATCTCTCACTGCATAACATCCCAGATGCCTTTGGTCTCCCTCACTGCATAACAACCCTTGCAGCATGGAGACTTGGTCAGCAGAACCCTTAAGCCAAAGCTTTTTTAGAACAAATGCAGCCACCTGTTTTTGCTCAAGTCTGTACCAGGGTGTCAGTTCATCTGTGTACACATACAAAGACACACACCATGGGAAAGAATTACCCCAATTCTTTTTTTTTTTTTTTTAATGTTTTATTGTGAATTATGTGATAGTTTACATGAGAGAACATTAGCTTTACATTCATCCTATCCTAATTCTTAAGTAAATATTTATCAACTGAGTCAGGAGATATAAAAAAGAAAAGACCATTCCAGGTCCAAACAGCAAGCATGAGTGAACTGACTTTCTGGACCCCCTACATCATCCATCTAGTTACTGTCACCTCAACATAGGGTGCCCCAAGAGTTCTGGGATAAAGGTCCCAATCTGAACTTGATGGCCCTTTGGTCCCTTGAACATGTCTTTCGTATGCCTTAACCAGGGAGTCTTGGTGTGGCGCTGCAGGATAATGCACTGGACTGTAAATTCAGTTTGAACTGCAAGGTTGCTGGTTCAAACACACCAGCTGCTCCTTGGAGGAGCTTATACAGGGTTGCTATGGATGAGAATCTGCTCGATGCCACTTAACAACAACAAAACCAGGGAAAGACCTTCCCCTGCATTTCCTCCTTTACAAAGCTCCAGACAATGTATTTTGAAAGAAAATGCTAGCAATCACAAGTCCTCAGGCTCCTCTCTAATCTTGAAATAGTATCAACACCTATGATGTAGTCACCAGCTGAATAACACAGTTGCAGTGCTATCATCAAATTAGTTAAGTAATATTTTAACTGGAAATATTCCTCTGCTCAAAAACAATATTTTGATGCTCCCCAAGATGAATCTGATGCTCCCGTCTCTAATGCTGTGCACATTGTTGTTGTTGTTAAGTGCCATTGAGTTAGTTCTGACTCAGAGTGACCCTGCAAAGGGTTTCTAAAGAGCATCTGGTGATTTGAACTACCAACCTTGCAATTCAAACTGATCTTGAGGTCCAGCATATTATTCCACAGAGCCAGACCTTGACAATCTGCAAACTCAGTAGGAGCAGATTTAGAACTTTTTGTAATGTACATTCTTTTTATGTCTTTGTTGTGCATATATCCACCAAATAGACTATAATACTATTATTATTAAAAAAAAAACAAAAACACCTGTGATAAACATAAACACACAAGACCTCTTTAAAATTTTGAAAAGCAAAGATCTCAGTTTGAGGACCCAAGCCATGGCATGTTCAATAACCTCATATTGTATGTGAAAGATGAACAGCGAATAAGGAAAACCCATAGAATTGAGGCATTTGAGTTACAGTGTTGGAGGAGAATATTAAAAGTACCATGGATTGTCAAAAGAACAAATAGATCTGTGTTGCAAGAAGTACAGCCAGCAATGTGCCCAGTGAAGGAGGCTTGTTGCGGACCCTCTGCATTACATAAGACCATAGGTGGAATCCTGAACCTCACCCAGAATCTTCTGAGGTGGAAAATTTCCACTAGAAAGGACAAGCAGACCAGCCTGGAGTGGCTAGAAGAACAGAAGATACTTCTTGAAAGAAAGACTGACAGGAGAAATTCAGAGCAATAGTGGCAGTCCGATTGTTTACTACAAGAACAAGCAAGTTGTTTGCCCAAGAGACATCAAGACAAGTGGAATACATGAGCAAACATGTGCTCTGATTGATGGCCACGTTCATCACTGGTATGGGGAAGTGAGAAAAACAGCAATGAAGCTGCGAGCTAAGCCCTATAACCCTGGTGGAGACCTGATTGGCCAGCAGTGTGGCAAGACCTGGGGACTCTTGGACCCAGAGTCAGTGACATAGTCACAGAGGATTAGAGTGGAGAGTGAAGTGTCCAGCTGATAATAAAAGAGGGTGTATGCATAAGAGCACCTACACTTGCAGACAATACCCACTTGACCTGGCTTCAATGGCTGGATGATCACAGCTTAACTAGAAGAAGAAAGGAGAGGGAAAAAAAGAGTAATCTGATACAATTTGATGAACTTGACCTACACCTATGGATGCAGTAGCTCAAAAGAAGGAACAAATTTTTACAGTGAGGATCATTCGCACCACCTCCATACACAGAGTAGACAGGGATGGGCAACTTGGACATTGGCTACCCAAAATGGGGGAGCTACAAAGGCAAGCAAGAAGTGACTGGCTTACAAGCTTTCAAGAGGAAGCCTAGATCCAGAGGGCGTGGAGGAAAGTAGACTCTCCACTGAGTAGTATCTAATCTGTGTGGGCAGGGCTAATGAAAGGGGATAGGTCCTTGTGGTACAATGGTGAATAATTGTTATCAGGACTGACTGCGAGGGTAGGAAATGTAAAGGTGGACGTTTTGTAGCTATAGGTGGGGAGTGATAGACTGTGCAGTCCAGGAGCCGAGGTCCCTGGAACCATCAAGAGAGAAGAGCCGAGTGCGAGACCCTACCCAGAGAAGCAGTGACGCCAGAGATGGAGGCAGAGATGACGACGTGGAGACATGGAGCAGCTGGGGACTCTACACCCAGAGAGGGAGAGGGGCTGTGTGCTGACGACCCTGGGACAGGTTTTCAGGGTTGGTTGGTTCATGATTCATGGATGGGATCAGAACCCTGGCAATGAAATGATATATGAAAGATGAATGTAAAGCTAATGTTTTCCCATGTAAACTATGACATAATTCACAATAAAACATTAAAAAAAAAAAAAAAAAGTACAGCCAAAGTGCTTCTTGGAGGCCAGGATGGCCAAACTTCGTCTCTCATACTTCGGACACATTGTCAGGAGGGATCAGTCACTGGAGAAGTATGTCATGTTTGGTAAGGTGGAGGATCAGAGAAAAAGAGGAAGACCTCCAGCAAGATGAATTGGAAAAGTGGCAGCATCAATAGGCTCAAGCGTGGCATCAATTGTGAGGTTGGCCCAGGTCTGGGTCGTGTTTCATAGGGTTGCTATGAGTCGTTACTGAC